CGTCTGTAGAAGGTCCGCTTCGTCGCATTTACAATCCGAGAAAATCGAAACTCTTCCAGGACAGCAACTACGTCAAGATAAAACCCACGTTGGGAACCAGGTGGACAGCCGCAGAGGACTGTGATGTGACTGTCCTTCACATGCCGTCTTGTACGCTGCAAATCTTGGGGCGCACGGCCAAGGCGACTCTGATCAAGACGGGCGTTGTCGAGTGGTTTGAGGCGGATAAGACAAGAAAGCGATGGCTACCTTACAAAAAGATGCTGCCCCACTCCGTCTTGCTCGTCTCGAACGGGCAAAAACCAGATACGACGGGCAACGGAGACAACGTCGTTGCTGTGGGGTGCTTTGATGTGCCAGAGGAAGCAGCGCAGTTCGAAGAGGTATGGGGTCTTCGGCTGATTGACAAAGAGGGGTTGATCATTGTCCCGCACGAGGGCAAGTGGAAGCGGGCTGGGTGGTTTTGTTTGAGAGATGAATCTTGGCTTGAGAAGAAGCCTGAGGTTGAGATAGATCTCGTCTGATTCGGGATGATCTAAAGCAAGCCATGCCGCGGCTTATATTTCACGGAAGAACTTGTCTCAGGCCGCAGCCGTACTGGCCCTCATGATCACTTGCTGTCTCTTCTTTGCCTCTACCGAAGCCTTACGAGGGCTGTCTGCTTCGAACACTTCATCCAGCTCTTCCAGTGTGAAACCCTTGGTCTCAACAAAGAAGAAGTACATGAAAACCATTTCGAAACTGTCCCAGGCCACGAAAAAGACATAAAACCAGTACCCAATCTGTTAGGGATTGATTGCATCAGTACACCAGCACAGCATATCCCATCATTTCAGTATGCGGAGATGTACTCACATTCGAGAGCGCAATAGGCCCAACAAAAGTGTTGAGGAATCCCGCCGCACCTGCCGTAAGCTTGAAAGTCCCCATCGCCTTGGCACGCATCTTGTTGCTGACAACCTCGGCCGGGTAGATGGGCTGCATCGGCGTGAAGCCCGTGGCGAAGATGGCACCAAAGACAAAGATGAAGACGATGCTGACAGTGGACGCCATCTTATTGCCGTAGTCTGTGTAGGCTGCCGAGCAGCCGGCGACTAGGGCTAGGCAGACTGTCATACCTGCGGTGGTGGAAATGAGCATCTTGCGGCGACCGACAACGTCATGAAGACGGGAGCCCGCGGTCGAAAAGACCCAGCCAATGACGGAGTAGACGATATTGAGTATCAGTTTCGTGTTCGTATCGGTGATGCCGACGCCCGCAAGCATGATGGGCAGGTAGTACGAGACTAGCATGTGTCAGTTGCTTCAGGAGACAAAAAGCCTGTTGCATCAAAGAACGCACTGATGTTGTTTCCACTGAACTGCCCAAACCAAGAAAACGCTACATTGAGCATAAGTCTGTACCTGCTAGACCGGCTCTCGACGAGGACCCTCAAGTCGAAGAGATCTTTCCACGAAGGTACGTGGGCTGGATCAAGCGAGTTGATCATTTCCTTCATCTGCAGGTCTACGAGAGGATGCTCGAGGTCCCCGTTGGTATGATAGATTGCGATAATATGTTTTGCCTCGTCATGTCGGTCCTTGGCGACGAGCCTGTCGTAGGGTCAGTCAAAACTTCGAGGTCGTGGTTGAGGGACAACTGACCATCGAGGAGATTCGGGGAAGAACTTGATCAAGACACACACAAGCCCAGGGCACACCATCTGAAGCCATAACGGTATTCTCCAATCCAAGTCTCCGCGATCACTCAGGTAGCGGTGGCACGCGTATACTGCCGATGTTGCCAATATTGAGCCCTACATGAAAAGGGTGACGGTTAGCACAAGCCTCAACAACTCGTTTCAAGTCTCAGCCTCCCACTCCAGTCCCTCTCTTTATTGTTGAATTGTCACGTACCACGTTGTAAAAGGTGTTGTAGAGGCCTGCGACAGTGCCACGATATCGAGCAGGCGCGATCTCGACCAAGTAAAGGGGTGCAGACGTGTGAGCACAGGTAGCAAAGAACGACAAGATGAAGCGACCGCCAATAAACATGGGCAGACTCGTTGATAGTGCCGTTATTATTGCCCCGATGCAAACGCCCAAACAGCCGAAGAAGATGTGCCAGGTTCGACCGTACCAATCTGCCATCCAGATGAAGAGGGCACCACACATTTGACCGACCTTGACCCAATATTAGCAACCTTATTTCAATAAGCTCTGCCACCGAATTGTACCTGAAAGATGGCGAACACGATGCCAGTGCTTGCGTTGCCCTTTGCAGGAAGCCCAAAGTACTCCGTGTAATTGGGTAATGCGTTGATAGACCCTAGAAGAGCGCTGTCGTATCCTACGTCGAATTAGCCGTTGAAAGTACAGTACGAGAGCGGAACTGCTCTACCATTCATGGTCGAACAGAAGAACAACACTGTGGCAAGGAGGTATAGCCTGATGTATCCGGGTCCTCGCGGGTCGGGTTTGTTTGTTGCCATGATCGTGGCATAGGTATCAACACCGGTGTCGGCATCGTCCGAGTGTTTGAGGACGGGGCCGTCCTTGGCGTTGTCCCTATCCATCGTGCAAGCAATGAATGGGGATGTCTTTCCGTGAGGCTCGAAGGGCACTGGAGCCTATCCGCCGAATAATGCGAGATGTCACACTAGATCGTGGGAAACGATAACCCCAGGCTGTTCAGCCCACGAGATCCCAGGGACGGGAGGGGGTGGAGGAAGGAAGTTGACGATCTTGAAAGAGAGATCTGACAGCAAGTCGCTATCCGTCTGATCAAATGTCACAACATGGACTGCATATGACACTGATTGTAGCCGCAATCTGGCAACGACAGTGCCCCGGATTTAAACCAACCCCGGAAAGCATCGACGCTGGGTCCACGCGGGGATATAAATTGTCGGGGAAATACTGGGTCTGTGGCACCATTCTCCTTGTTCCCTGCTGGGCTAGGCAAGTGTGGCATGGATCGTAACGGACAATGTTCCAAAATAGCTCCCGGTATTGAGGAGAAAGTATTAGCTAGGCCTACTTACGTGTCTTTTATCCGGCATGTAGAGTACAGATTGAGATCTCGTGCTGTGTGCTAATATGATCAGTCTAAGTCTGAAGTTGCGCACGGGCCTTCGCGATGGTCAACTCCGTCGCTGTTAGTCGCACGTTGTTGACACTCATTGCAGGCCCTGGACTCTTCTAACCTTTCCAACGTTTGTTGAAAAGAGCGAATATTGGCAATGTCAGAGGATAGTGCAACTATCAATGAATCGCAACCGACGAGACGCTCATCAGTGGCTTCTGGCACTCATCTGGACTCTTCATATTAACCTAAAGTCAGTGCGTACATGACTTGCTGCGAACGCGAGTCGCTCATGAACCAACAATGCCATTGCCGATCTCTGATCATGGACTATTCAATTTCCCAGGCTAATGGGACAGCCCCTTCATCAAGTCAGAGTTTACAATGTCTTTTTGAATGATGTCGTAGAGGGATATGTTGAAGCCCCTGTTATTCAACGCCCCATTACGTCTCACCATGTGGATCGCACCTTGTAAGTGCTGCTGCGTCGAAGCAACATCACCCACCAAGATCTGTCAGTTGTCGAAGTTTAGTTGAATGAATTCGAAATACTCATGCAAATAGCATAGTTGTACTGGCTCATCTCATCTTGTGCCAGGAAAACAGCTATTGTGATGATCGAATTAGTAATCGGTGACCGCATTTTCAGGCATGAAATAATAACATCCATGAGCAGCCGCGCACAGGCGACTTTGTCCTGTAAGGCGAGTTGTGTATAGTGTGGTTTCTGTTGCGGAAAACAATGCGACAAACGCCGGCTAATTACGAGGAAGGGGCCATTTAGAGCGCTGCTGCTGGTTGCGGCCAGCTGAATGAATTGATGGTTGAGACTCTTTGTGCAGCCATCCAGAAAACCACTTCGGGTTGGCTCATAATTCGAACATGGCACGACGTTTTGCACGTCTTTGAAGCCAATGTTAGTTGTCTAGAGGCTGAATTTCGATCATTCGTTGGCAGGGTTCAAGCAGAGGACTCGGAATTTCAAATCATCTGAAATAGATTCGCGGTTCTCAACTACAATAGTCTAGAGGGAAGTCTTCAACCGAACTAAAGCGCTTCGCAAAGCTAGCAAAGGAGTCTTCCCTGGAAGATCTCAGGGACTTAATCAGAGTAGAATCAGCAGCGACTTGGACGTTGGTTGATCTGACAGCTTGATACTGAAGATTTCGCCGTCGCCTTGCTCTTGCGTGTGCCGTCGTGGCTGCATGAGAATCAGCTCGACGTTGTGACTCAGCTGACGCAACATTCGAGTTGTTCTGTTCATGCACATAGATGAACTGGATATAGCCTCTTTCGACTGACATGATAGCGATTGTTTTGACAGTCTTACGAAAGGCATGGCTGAGATCTTGCGGGGACAGTTCTTGGGGATGTAGATACCCTCTTTCACGGGTTGCCCGCAGATTCGTATCATTTGTCAGCCGTTGTAGGACATAAGCCGCAAATACGCGAAGCAGTATTTGTAATCGGATGGCTTACCATGAAGTCTTCAGCAGAACCAGAACAGCAGTAGCAGAGGTTCATGCGGCTCATCTGTCCAGGTCAGCAACTAATGCTGCCAAGACTTGCTGCTTCCAGATTGGGAAACCAACTGCCGGGAACCAGCTCAAGGCGTCAATGTACACTCCAAGGTTTCTTACTGGCTTCGATATCTTTCAACTGCACTTCCGTGGCAACTGTTCCTACCTTTGGATCCTACCGTGATGTCAATGACCCTGCCAAGGCATGCTCTTTCTCAACAAAGCATAGTCCGGGTTTGGACCTAAGCGACGGGTCAGTTCAAAATGCTTCTCATGAATTCCCACTTGATTTTGAGAAGTATATAATGCAGGCGTTGATGCGAGAACACAAGTTTATTCCCAGTATCATTCAGATAGAAAAAGAGAAAGTATCCCAGTCTCTCTCGAACTTCACGCCTTTCGCATCTTTCTTCGCAATGTCTAGCCTCAAAACCAGAATTCCGAAAGGCTCCTGGGTCCTTGTCACCGGTGCTACCGGCCACATAGCAGTGCATACGACCAGACAACTTCTTGAACATGGTTTCAGGGTCCGCGGAACCGTTCGAGATCTAAAAAGGGCTACATGGCCCACCCAAGACGTTTTTAGGCCCTTTGCTGACCGAGGTGATCTCGAACTCGTACAAGTCCCGGACCTCGGCGCCCAACATGCCTTTGACGAGGCGATCAAAGGAGTATCGGCAGTCGCTCACATCGCCTCGATTCTTTCCTTCTCCGACAGTCCCCTGGATCTAATACCTCCAGCCGTCGACATTATGGTCTCGATTCTCGAGGCTGCGGCTCGCGAGACGTCCGCCAAGTCGATTGTCTACACTAGCTCTATTGTCGCCACCGTTGACCTGAGTCCCGGGGTCACCGCACATGCAGGGCCGGACGCCTGGAACGACCACGCAGTCAAGACTGCTTGGGCTCCGCCTCCGCACGCCCCTGATCACTGACACATAGTCTACCGAGCCAGCAAGGTCGAGGCCGAGAAGGCCTTGTGGGCCTTTGTCAAGAATGAATAAGCCTCACTATGCCGTCAACGTCGTCAGTCCGGCGACTGTCTTGGGCGGGGCTCTTTGCCAGAGACATCTAGTGTCTCCATACCCGTGGGTGAAGAACCTTTATGATGGAAACGAAGAGATTGGAGCTCTGTTTCAGGCCAGTAAGTCCTCCTTCAATACACACCCGTCCTTTTCAGCGACTGATAGCAATGTGCAAACCCAGTCATCCATGTTGACGTGGAGGATGTTGCTTTGCTCCATGTTGCCACGGTATTGGATCCCGATTGCAACGGAGCCCGACTACAAGCCTGGGGTGAATACTGCAACATGAATGACATCCTGGCCATCTTGCGGAGGCTTCACCCGGAGAAAAAGTCTATGAATGACTTCCCAAACCAGACCGAACTTAGGATCACCACTGAATACGACCAACTGGTTGAATTGCTCCGCAAGTGGGGAGGCCAGGATGGATGGACTCCGCTAAAGAACAGTGTCATTGAGGAGATAGAAGGGGCTCTCAAGTGGTTTCCCTGAGTCTCCGACTGATCATTACCTAATGCCAATGACTGCGTAATTAGATGAGACAAATCTACAGATTCAAGCTCTCAGAGTACTCGTGTATGGTTGAAATCCGAGGGTGAATCTTCAATTATAACCTGGATGTCTGTGGCAAAAGTCATTCGCTTACAGCCAACACCTCACTCGTAATCACGTAGGTTATCTACGTCCTGTTAATCTCTTTTATAAACTCGCAACTTCCCTGAGTTGTCTGACAGTCCTCCACCATGACCATTGCCTGCCTTAGTTTCGAAACACTACGATACCATAGAAAGCTTCGTCTTATGAAAATTGTGTTGCGTTGTTTGTGAATCAAAGCTTGCAGTGGGTATGGAACGGCGCGCGTGACCTCAAAAAAATGTTGAGATCTTCATTATGTCTGGCAACTGAAGAAAGATCCATTCAGTGGCAATGCTATTTGAGGGTCCCGAATTGCAAGGTCAGAAGGTGCGGTAGAAGTCAACACCGCTTCTCATCACCCCTTCCCCTGTTTCTGAGCGCATGGTTACCCGAACAAACCTCAGACGAGTCATTGAAAGAGGCAGTGACTAACGTGGGAAGCCCGATTCCGCAGCAACTTGATGCTAAGCCTGTGCACTTGACAACTCACGATTGTTGTCTCGGTCTCGTGAGTCTGCCTGAGAGTTGATTATAGCATACGTAGATGGTTGCTTAATTGACATAAGGTAGCCTAAAGCACGATCCTAACAGCTCACATCTCATAAAAAAAGCATCTTTTGTGGATGATACAAGCAGAGAGGGGCAAATGCGAGGGAGCACGGGCTTCAGCTCTAACGGCTATGACTTTCCGTACCTGGGGACTTTCGCTATCGCTTTCGCGACACCTTCACACTACTCTGCGGAGTTCACGTTGTACAACTTAGAAGGCGTCTGTAGATCTTGGCCCTGCCTTACTGCAAGAGCGGAGCGGATAGCGATGCCGACTTCAGGACCGCTCAGCCTTGTGTGTGTGTGTGTAAGTGATCAAGAACTCGCTATAAATGTCTATAGCATCCTCCTTCCAGTAAAGCCATCACAACTCACATTTCAGATCAATCTTCACGATCACTTTGCCAACTCTTCATACTTCACAGAAACTCCTGTCTTTAAGATCAATCGCCCACTCACCAACCCTCAAGATGCAGTTCTCTACCATCATGACCACTTATTTCCTGGCTGCTGCGACCAGGTAAGTCAACCCAGTAGATACAATCAAAACCACACTGTTGGGTTGGTTGAATGTCTTGTTCGATCATTTGCTAACAGTGACAGCGTTGCCGCCAAGAAGCACTCCGAGCTCCACTGCATCACCGCCAGTGGTAGCGGCCAGTTCATCGTCGGCTTGCCCGTAAGCTCGCACTCCAAATTCATCAGATAGAAGTTGAGCGCAACGGAGCTGACAAAATGATAGAACAACGACGTGACCAGAAAGACTTGCCCCGGCTTCTGCTCTGACTGCGTCCTCTCCAACAGTGGAACCACCATCACCTGCAAGTCTCCCGGCAAGTTGATGGAGGGCGGCGACTTCTCCGACGCCTGCATCAAGAACGGTGGATCCGGCAGCGAGTAATTCGCCGCAACTTACGTGTGAAGCGGCGACTGTAGGCCAGTGCCAGGAGTTAAGTTCTTTCACTCATTCATTGCATCCAACATGATCCACGAGTTATCAAGTTGTAAATGGTGTCGATCTCGAACTGAAATCAGGACGATAGAAGTGTTATGGGTATCTCGTTCAATGAAAGCTCTACCTACATGTTCTACTAGCAGCGGATTTAACTCATTGAATGTTCTGATCTTGTTGTGTATAATTAGTTCTTCGATTTTAGGGTAGGTATGCTTATCGAAATTTCCATTTCAGAACCGGTGATACACGAACTGTTTCTCGCCGACCTCTTGGGTGAACAAGATCTTTGTTGCCACATTGTGTAACTCGGGTGCCTTTCTTGGAACCTCACGCAAGAGAGCTTTGATTTCGACATTATTATGACGGCGGATTGAGAAGAGATTTTCATTTGATATTATCAAGGATCAGTACCAGTCATCCTTCAGGCCGCTGTGTCCTTCTGCTTCACAAACGCAACTGCGATTAGAGATGCTTCATCTATGACAAGACGGATCCCCGCTCAACGCCCTGTTGATGCCGTAGAATCGATACTGAGCCAGCGGCGCTTTTGGCCAATTGGGTAGCTTTTTGCCGCTCTGGTCGCGGAAGACCGCATCAGGATGGACATCCAGTATGATGTAGTCATCGCTGAGGAATTCAATATTCAACTCCCGAGCCCCATCCTTTCTATCCGTGGGGATCTTGTAAGTTCCTGTTCTTTGATGGCACTTGAATGATTCAAAATCCAGTCGGATGTCATCGTCAGGGTCTTCTGCGCAATCTATGGCTAGACCCCCTGACAAAACCCTGTCAACCTTCAATTCCGTTGTTCCTCTGAGCGACGGGTATTTCATGGCGCGGACTGAGTTCATGTCGGTGAAGTCGATTATCCTAGACACTCGAATACCATCTGGATTCAAGGGAGCTGCGTAGTCCTCGGAAAGCAAGTCGAACTGCGATAAAATGTTACGGCTCATGTAGTAGAGAGGTTTTGCTTCGTCTCTCGTTCCGTTTCGTATCAGAGCGTCGATGGCCAGCTTGACTCTCTTGAGTTTGTCATTATTTTGCCGGGCCATACGTTCCATCCTCATCTTTTCTTCAATCTTGTAATGTTTACTGGTTTCGGGAAGCCATTCGCGCTTGAACATCGCTCGTTGGTATTTTGCTTCGCGGAAAAGCCTTTCTTCTTCGTCATCGCCCGTGTACTCTCGCCAGATGGGCGTCTCACACTCACAATCAGAACCATCTTCTTCGTAAGTACACTCCCCCTTTGAGGGCTCAATGTCAGAAAGATCTTCTGCAAAGGCTCTGCGATCGTGATCCTCGATCGACCAATCTAGCCATTTCATGTGACGAAAGAACCATTCTGGGCGATTCTTGGGGTTGTATTGTGGCCGCGTGTATGCCTTTGAAAATGGACCCTTGTGCTTTCTTTGGTGTTGATTCTGTTGTTGCTTTGATGTATGCTCCTGCTTTTGCGCCTCTTGCCTTAGTTGATGTAGTCTTTGCTGTACCTGGCGATACTGCTCCTCCTCCTGTTGCTGGTGAGCCTCCAATCGTTTTGTCTTCCTTCGTCTCTGCCCCCTACCCATATTGTAAGTAAGTACGCAGGTGATTGCCAGAACCAGAAAATATAAGATTAGAGTTAGAGTGTGTGCCAGAAGTGTAAGACTATATCAATGTGTAGGAAAAGGATAAAATCGTTGTATCTGAAGTCATAATCCTGTTGGGCCTCTCCTTCAGTTGCCTAGCAACTGGAGCCTCAGAAAGGGGTTGGAGATTTAAAGTGGAACTCTGAAATTATATCACGTTATCTTGGCGCATTCGGTCAAGACATTTGCCAATCATTTGATTCAGTGGGTAAAATCAATCATCGTGCACATTTTTGACGGTGAAAGAGTTATCTCAAGCCATATCCCCGGCCATTTCTCTTGTGCTAAGAGAAAAATTGGTGGGTTGCAACCGGTGTGCTAAAGCCTGCGCCGCGACTCACTGACCAGCCCGACCAAGCCCCCACAAGCTAGGTAGTCTTCTTACACCGACAGCATCCGTAAGGCAACGTCGAGTTGCAACTTCATACGTGGATTGACTCAGTACATGTCTCACTAAAGTCCCTTAGCTGCTTGAGCCTTGGATGCAGGTCGAGCTCACGAGATTGTTAGTAGCTTGCTAGAGCAGATGTAGGATGGAAACTGGACAACCTGTGGTCGGTGAGACAGTGAGACTAAGCTTCCTCTTCTCGAACCTCAGAGGGTCTACTCATTCCTTCTACTAGTTCAAAGCTTCCATTGAATCATTCGCCGGTTTCGAGCAAGGATTCAACTGGTTTCTCTACCGCATCTGCGGATACTGCTGTACCAATGGTGAGTCCAGACTCCGGAGTGAGGATTTGGGGTTGACCAAGATGGTGGGGAGAAAGGTGGATTCAACTGCGGAGAGCTTGGGGAACGTGCCACATCCCACCGGGGATATGAAAGCCCGCATCCAGAAGAGGCAAATGGGATCATAAACTCCCGACCGAGTGCATATGTGGGTATCGTGAGATACATGCCACAGACCACCCAGAGGTACCAGGTGAAAGAGGTTCCGCATTGTGCCTTGTCACTTCAGCGCATCGTGACACCAACCTGCAAGAATTTAGCAGTCCCATGCTGTGCTGTTGATCTCATTCATCTGTAGAAGCAAACGATGTTTGAAGCGACCCTTCTGTATTCATGATGAGTCGAACGTGGCCGCTCTCCGAAGGTGCCTTTCTCGTGCGTCATGACGAAACAATACAATGCTAAAAGTTCACAGTCCGCCGACATCGAACTATTGATGATTGTTGGATGGTCATTCATGGCGTAGTCTACGATGTGCGTTTTCTGGCCCTCTTACAAGAATCACAAAACTCACCATAGGCGGCAGATCACATCATTCCTCCCCAATCACCCGGGTGGTAAAGCCATTCTCCTAAAGAATGCAGGCAAAGATGCTAGCGAAGCGTTTGATGCCGTCCACCCAGTTGAGGTCTTGGAAGAGTATCTCCGGCCTGGCCAGATTATGGGAACATTTGAAGTCACAGAAACGGGAGGCAGGCTGCAATCAGACATGCCACCTCCGGACGCACTCGCGAACCCATCGCCATCACCAGATAAGTCAGATGACGTACCTCCAGTGTCTCAGATCCTGAGTATCGCCGAAATGGAGCATTATGCCTTGCAAAAGATGAGCCCGAAAGCCATCTCGTACTACGCCTCAGGAACCGATGACGAGGTCACTAAAGTTGGGAATGGCACCATCTTCCGTTCCATTCTCCTGCGGCCACGGGTCTTTGTTGATTGTACCCGGTGCTCCTTATCGACGAACCTCCTTGGAAATGCAGTCGGTATGCCAATCTACGTTTCGCCCGCAGCCATGGCCAAATTGGCGCACCCAATAGGCGAGGCCGGCATTGCAGCAGCGAGCTCCAAGTTCAAGGGCTTGCAGATCATCAGCAAGAATGCGTCAATGTCTCCCTCAGCAATTGTCCAGGCCGGCCCCGACGCGACTTTCGCATGGCAGCTCTACGTTCTGAAGGATATCGAAGCGACCGAGAGGACATTGGCACAGATTCGAGCCGTTCCCCAAATCAAATTCATCGTGCTCACACTAGACGCTCCATTCCCCGGCAAACGAGAAGCAGACGAGCGATTCAAGATGGCAGAAGTTGCGGGAGGCGCCCCGCCGGGTGTATGGGGCACGGAGTCGGGACTCACGTGGAAGAAGACGCTTGCCTGGCTCGCCAAGCATACGAATCTCCCGATAGTGTTGAAAGGCATTCAGACACACGAGGATGCGTATGCGGCGACCTTGTTTCCGAGCGTAAAGGGTATCATTATCTCGAATCATGGTGGACGGGCTCTGGATACGACAATGACGCCTGTACAAGTGCTTCTGGAGATTCGGAAATTCTGTCCAGAGGTGTTTGACAAGATTGATGTTCTCATCGATGGAGGTATCAAAAGAGGTACAGACGTCGTCAAAGCTCTGGCCCTGGGAGCCAAGGGTGTCGGCATTGGAAGGGCGGCGCTGTACAGCCTAGCTGTTGGGGGACAAGCGGGTGTTGAAAGGGCATTGCAAAGTAAGTTCAACCTCATCGCCAGATTCATCCTTCGCGAATCGTAAGCTGAAGTGGTTCTATAGTTCTTGCAGATGAGACCGTCACCGCAATGAGACTGCTTGGTGTTGAGCGTGTGGATCAACTTGGACCAAGACATGTAAGTTCAGAGTCGCCCACCTTGATTCTATCGTCGACGATGGCGACATTTCTGACATTGTTGCTATTAACTTAGATCAACACGAATGGTTTGCAAGCACAGCTTTACGATGGACCATCCGGCCTCGAAGCGATAGATGCAGAGCTGAAGTCAAAGTTGTAAAATTTGTATTGCAAAACATCAAGGGGCAAAGTCGAAGAAAGTTGAGGCTTGGTTGAACAGACAAGGCCTATGTTTGTCACCCCTATCTATCTCTCAATTCGTTACGAAGGAGGTGCTGTGAGACCCACTCAATCTGACCACCCTACTCGATGCTAGCCGTGGTCAACAAAGCTGTCAAATAGTGGGAAACGCATTGAAAAGCCCAAGCTAAGATGATCCCTCAGGTTTGCGTCCGTACACGTTTTGCCTATCTCATGTCAGCAGAGCCTTGTCTAGACCACAGAAACCATGATCAACTCACAAGTATATGACCGTCTGGAGCTTAGGGTCCTTGAGAGCTTTGCGTGCCTCGGCAACGAACACCCCCGCCGATATGCTATCCCAGTCCATCACCTGAGTCAACAGAAACATGGAAAAGCCTTCGAGAGACTGGTCGTGAAACTCCAGGTTGCAGATGCCAACCTCTTTCAGCGTGTGGTCCTTGGGCCAACCCCCAATAGGCACAGGCCAGCTCTTCTCGACAACGTCGACGAAACCGGCGTCCCTCATAGCATCGGCGATTTTGTGGCCCCCTCGTGACTGATCCATGGACTTGCCGAGGCGGTTTGCAGCCTCGAAAAAGATCTTGCCCCACCTGCGGTAGACGTGGTCTTCTGGGAGACTGTCCCCATACGCCTGAGAGCGGAACTCAATGTCAAAATCCTTCATCTCAAAGTATCCGCCAGGCTTGAGGTGATCGTAGATTTGTTTGTAGAAAGCAGGCCAGTCGGAGATGCAAGCCTCCATGTGGCGGAGATGAATGAAATCGAAATCAGGAGTCCATGTCCATGGCTGTTTCACATCGTCGATTTGAAACTTGCAATTGGGCGGCACCCAGCCAGGCTGGATAGGCGAGATGTCGACACCCATTACTTCGGAAGACGGGAACTCGTCAGCGAAGTCACTGCGTCCCTGTCAGTTTTGGCTTGGTTCAAGAGAGGCATTTCAGGTGGAACGAATCAATGAACTTACATTGCCCAGATACCAGTACCGGTTCCTAAGTCGAGGACCTTCTGCTCAATTCTTCAGAACCGTATCTTGACTGGAGATGGAAGCTTCTTACCAACGGTCCATCCCCGAGCGGTGAAAGAAAAAGCTTGTCGCCGAGGAGTAGCGTTTCCCAGTAATGCCTTCAAGAGCGTGAATTAGCCAATTGAGGATTTCAAGGAAGTTCCCTGCTACTCACGCGAGATCAAGGCCCTCATTTTGCTGCTCGTCGTTCGGACCCCAGTAGTCGGCCTTTTGCGTATAAGTACGACCATGAATTCTGCGGTATTCGGTGATGCTCTCGGTTAGCGATGCAGTCGACTGAGTCGTAACGCTTTGCCCGCCTCTGTTAGTGTTGCGTCTCGCTTGGAATTTGGGAATCGAGCACAAACCTCTCTGTGTCCGCCAAAGAATCATGATCATCGGCTGCGACAATAGGATTCTAGCACTCAATGACTTGTCAGTATACCGATACTTTCCCGCCACACTCAGGGCAAGTTCCTCCAGAAACTTAAGTCACAAGCCCTAAAATAGTTTGAGTTTCGCGCGAAGGCTCTCACAGGGTCGTTCGCTGCTACCGCAGGCTCAATCGCGGCCGCAGCCGGTGAAGCTGAAGTAGTCGCAGGAGCGGCGCTGGGCTGAGTTGAGGCATCCATTTTATGTTTAATCACGTCAACGTATCCAAGAGGATAGGTGTAGATGTGACCGTCGAAGAGACTCCAATGCCAACGCCGAGAAGATCAGGACGTTGGAATAATCGATTATCATGACGGAAAGAGGCGAATTTACCCCTCCCTCCATCGGAGGAAACTACCCGTTGTTGGTTGTTGTGTCTTGGCGGAATCCTCATCTCGAATGGAAATAACCCACCATACCCTTTCATATCAATAATCTCCCTCTGCGAACGGTAGCAGAGGAAACGAACATCGTTTTAATCGTTTCTCTCCCTCTTAGCATCAAGCCAGCATTTCTCACCGCCATATGCCACCACTGCTTCGACAACAAGCGTCAAGACAGCGCTCCTCCGAGCATGCGATCAAAGGACGTCGCTCGCCGAAGATTAGAAGAAGCAGCTCGCTTAGAAAGAGAAAGAGCCGAAGAGGACGAAGAGGAAGAGAAAAGGAAAAGAAGAGGCGTCTACCAAACAAGACATTTGTTCAAGCCGCACCCAGTCACGATGGCGCTCCAACCTTTGCCGCCTACCAGATTCATGACGACACTCCTGAATCCGACGTAACCGCGCTTCGAGCTTTACGTCCACCATTCGGTTTCGTCGTGTACGACACGACGGAGACTGCCCGTCCCACCCGTAGCGCTCAGCTTGCCAGAGCCCTGTTTGACCACACCAAGACGAAGCGGACGAAGATCCGCTACGGAGCGGATCGCATCGAGGTCATCACACTGCCCCTGCCCATCACTCTCTCCCTCGACCAGCGCGTGGAGACTTGCACGCGCCATTATGATGCCGAGTACCGAAGCCGTTTGCGCATCGCTGACAAGGCCGAGGCCGCTTCGTGGTTCCTCGCCGAGCGTATCATGGATCGACATTTTGCGCGTAGGGCTTTCATAATTGATCGTATCAAGGAGGACGGAGACGGAGACGAGGACGAGTCCGCCGCGATGGCCTCATGGAAGGAGTCGCTCAGCAATGTGGATCAAGAGCTCAAGGCCGTGATGCAGCCTGACCTGAGCAATACCGGGAGCTTTATCGAGATCAATTGGCAACCACGCAAGGAGATATGGAACTTTTGGAACCGTGAAAATTGCGGCCCTGGAGATAGGATGTCCTCTTGCCGCTTCGGGTTCGAAGCTTTCGGAGACAGATTTGAGGAGATGAGGGATGCTGTCGAAGTGTTTTACAACCATTTCGTTCCAGGTGGCATACTCGATCGACGGGTAGATCAGGCTCGGGCGGCTCGACTCGTAGCCTTGTAACCATCGGACGTTGGCCGGAGAGTTCTTGCAAGGGAAATGAATAACGATAGATTAAATTCCAGGCAGCAGTCAGTTCAAGCCCGCCATCGCCTTATTCGGCATTTAGAACGCAAGGAAACGGAAGTCGAGGCCCATATTAACTGTCCGCATTGACAAAATCGGAAGCTCAAGGTGGGTTGTCACTTCTTGTCTTTCATTCACTTTGACCAATATGTGTGACTGGCAAAGGATGGGCCTTATCCCAGTCATTCGATTGCTAATGATCCTTTACGATTCGAAAAGTGTTGACAGACCGTTGGTCGAATCCCACAGATCCCTTTATCACCCACGAATGCCTCTGGCATTTTGCTAGCCAACTAAAATCTAGTGAAGGTGCCCAATGTTTTGGTTTACTATTCTTCGGCGCATCTAGCGTTCGGCATCCAAGTGCCGCTTCGCTAGCTTTATCACTACCCTACTTAGATCATTCGCACTTAGCGTCGTCCTCGCGGAACATGCGTCAGTCGTGGACGTGGCCCAGTTTTAGCTTCAAAGTCCGGAGGAAATTCCGATATACGCCACCTATTCGGCATTGATACTTAGGTATGCCGAAGAGCTTTGGGTGCTCTTTCTACACAATCGAAGACACTAGATTCATTTGACAAGTCGAGGTTCGTGCATTCAGTCTCGGGGTTGAGAACTGGAAAGTCATTAGGCAGAAGCTGGTTGATTTGTGGAGGATGATACGTAGAAGCCATTGACTTACGATGAATTTAATCATCTTGAAGCAAGACAGATCCCCCAAATTTCATTCATCTTCTAAGGTACATCCCCATATTTGATCTTGACCACAATGAGATGTCGTAGATTTATTTGTAAACAAGTGTTCCGATAATGAAATTAATAGTCTGGAGCTTCCAGCGATGCAAGCGTCCATGGATGATGGACCACCAGGCCTCGGCCCAGGCCCAGGCCCCCCTCCAGGAATATGCAGCCTACCCCCTCTGTGACGATGACCCCCTGAGACCGGATTTAATTCACTACCAAAGCGTCAACAGGCTTTCTATCCTAGCAGAAACATGCTTTCCAGAAATATAGAGCAATAAGACCCACCCCCTGAGAAAGTATCAACGGCCTTCAGCAAACCCTGAGCGCTGACCATTCGGCCGTATGGCTCTCCACGACACCGTTCTCAGTAACTTAGCAGCATATATCTCGAAGACATCAAAGACTTCCGGATTACTCTGGAATTGCGTTTTACTTTCGCTTGTATCACCCAGCTTAAGGTAGTAGATTCAAGTCAGCCAGAGATTGAACAAGCACTCTAACGCCAGAACCAGGTGCCGCTCCGCACGTTACCAACCGGACATTCCGTATTGTTCATGAGCGATTCATACGTCTTCCATGACCGAATGATCACAAAGAGGTAAGCCAACATCAGCCCATCGACAAATCGAGGATTTTGTGTGCAGGTTGATCATGCGAGCTTGTCTGAAGGATCTTCTCTCTGACCTCCAATCCTTCTCAAGGAAAAGTAAGGTGCTTCAAGTAATGACGTGTTGCTGGAACTGGAATGGTCATCAAGGATCAGTAGTTGGGGCCAAATCTGCTCCCTGTGAAAAATTATCCCAGCACGCCTACCCCGTTCCCTTCTCTCGTTGGCGTCACTCCTGTTGATCCATTTCGAATCTTGGCCGTGGTCGAACAATTTGATCACCTTTTGACCCACAGTCAGAAGACTTGAGAGCCTGATTTGGGGTAAACATTGGACACTCGATGATGATCCAATTGAGACCCTAGAGTGTGATCGAGTCAAACTTGTCGAGAGAATGTCATCTAGTTCACAGCCCTCGGCATCGCACGACAACTCCACATGCTGCAGACTAGGCACCAGAATTAAGGTAAGGCGCAGCTTTCAGGTATCAAAGAGTCTACCAAGCAGGCGCACATGTGATGGAACAACTCAACTCTAGCCTCTCGATGTTAATCCTTCTGCACATGGTTCTCGGCATCACCGTCTCCGCTATGATAAGTCACCTTAGCAAGAGACTACGACGCCTACCTCGGCCCCCGAGTTACAATCCGACAGAGCCGAGAGCAACAGCTAGTTATTTTGTCTAGGAACATGTACATTGCTCGGTGGGCAAGGCATCACTTAGCTACAACTTTAGTCATTATTCATTGAAAACTGTTCAGTTAAGTGTGTTCCGCAATGGATCGACCGACAACGATAAGAGTTTCCCTCAGCTGCCCCTTTTTACAGAGGATCGCTTGGATTAAGTCAACATACCCACTTCCTGGCACCCCCCTGTTTCTGGCACCCACAAAAACGCGAAAATCCACCACAACCCAATGCCCACCCCCAACCTCCTTTTATCACAACATTTTCAATTCGCGTCCAAATGGGCTCATCTTTTGCACATGTCTTCTTCTATATATAATGCCTCAATATACCGAAGATCAGCTTCGTCAGGCTCTCGAGGA